CTAAACGTCTGAGACCTAAAGGCAGCTCCAGGAGCAGGCTTGGATTCATGCTGACAGTTCGGAGGGCTTGGTCGGCTTTCGAAATTCAAAGCGTCTACTGTCAATATGGATGTGAATAGGCAGATTTCATTGTCAGCAAAGGCAAGGCAGAGCCGGATGAGTGAGTTCTTTAAGCGATCGGTGATCGTTCGTCGAGGAATATTGGTGAAAATTTTAAATGACTGACTAGGCACTTTTTGAGGACTTACTTAATTTCATTAACCTATTACGCGTCAAATCTTTATCAACGTCTGTTTCTTTGCAATAAGAGCATTACGTGCAAACACTTTAAGCAAAGAAGAGGACTTGCAAACTTTATCAAACGCAAAATAGCAAGCAGAAAATGTCTTGAAAGTGCCAGGTTCAAATCTCGGGGGTTCCAACCCTTCAGATTGGGTATGACTGGCTGATGACGGCTAACAAGCCAGAAATGGCCATTTCAGTGTCCCTTAGCTTTGTCGGATCTATTTCATCAGATCCGTCGGTATTTATCTAAAAGGGCGAATTTTCTTTCCGAAAAATTTAGGTAAATAGTAAAAACAATTAAACAATAAAAGCGTACTGCCAAACGCCGCGTTTGTTCGACTATTTGCAATAAAAACAAACACAGTTTTACTCGTAGTAAACCCTTATTATCCATTTTCGCTGGTTCAGAGACACTTTAAAAAAAGGTTCATATAAAAAGTATTTACAGACTGCCAACTACTTTTTCTTAGTTGAAAGGTTAATGCTCGCAAAGGAATTCGGACCCCATATGATGTTAATTATTTTCAAGGTTCGTCTAATAAGTTTATTTGCATTTTCTGTTACACGATTCGAAGTCACCCCAGGGGACATTACCCAGTTAGCGCAAGAAAGTCCTCGCAGAATTGGTGTGGCATGCAGTTACAGCAAAAACCAACGTCTTTCGGCGCTGGACTAGACCACCCATCCTGAGACTGATAAGTATCCGCCGCAAAAATAATGAAAGTTCTGAATTGAGATGAAAATATAGGCAGATATTTTTTCCGGCAAAGACAAGGGAGACTGCGATGGCCATTTCTAGCTTATTAAGAGTCTTCAGCCAGTCATACCCAGCTCCAAGTGATGCACCACTCGAGGCTCGAACTCATGATCCTTCTGATCAGAGTCTAACGCCCTAAGCATTGAGCTACAAGCTCACTGTCTTGCTTGCTTAAGTCGGGAAATACTGACAATCGTTGATACACGTTTACCGATCGATACCAGAACTCACGTCTCGCGAATTCGAGCCTCGAGTGCTGCATCACTTGGGGCTGGGTATGACTGGCTGACTACGGCTAATAAGCCAGAAATGGCCACTCCCGGTCTTCCTTGTCTTTGTTGACAGTAATAGTTACCTATACTACTAGGTGCTACGGCTGTTTTTTGGGTCCGTTGAAGGAATCCCAAGGCAGAGCGGGACAACAGATTTGCCTTAGGAGGCGGTGTACGTTCATCAAATGGTGTTATGGTGAACATTCTAGTTGAGTTTCATCCACATATAAAACTTCTGGAATTTTATAAAAAACTGCAATTAACTGTAAATTCAATAAGGGAATCGTTCATTTGAGTCTTTTAAAAAATGGTCTACTACAGTCTTTAAAACATCTACACATGGTTTCAGACAGCAACATTGGCAAGACCAAAAGCAAGATAGAAGCTGGATTTCAAAATATGTAAGCCTCAAGGTCAGAAAAATTTTTTCGAAAGGGCAAAAACTATCCTGTTGGACGATTGTGGTGATAAATAGATGTTCAGCAATCAAAATTCGACGCATTTTAGCATAGGAAAATTTTAAAGTTTGAAGAATAATCTCGCAGTATTTGAGTGAGCCGGAACACTGCATCCACAAACGCCAAATGTAAATCCCTTTTTAGCTGCAACAATCATTATTATTTGCACCATTCTTATTAAAAAGAACACTAATTCGGCAACTGCATAGACTAATTGCGACAAAAGAAGGCATAAATAACAGAAATGTATTCATTTAATCAAGTGAAATCCACATAGAAAAGATCTTATACGTTCTCACGAAACCCAAGTTTTAAAAATTTGATTAAATCAATCAATCAATTTTGCAAACATTTTCTACTAAGGGAACTCATAACTACAGACTGCAGTGTACGCTTTTGAACATAACTCAAACGGCTCTTCTACATTGTGCGTATGATCTTGAATAGAGTAAGCTCATTCTGGTACATCAGGCACTAAGACCATCCCTATATAAACCTAACACACAGAACCCGAATTTTTTTAAATCACATTTTATATCATATAGGATGGAAAGCAGTCAATTATAACTTGTGATTAATGACTTTATTTTCTCTGGGATTTGTACGCATATTTTTAAGTAACCAATTAGATGCAGTTTAATTTGGTTTAATTTTTATAGTAAAGCGCACTAAGATCACGCGTATCGTGTTCGGACCAGATAATAACATCTCGCATTTTAAATATATGCTTTTGTCGAAGGAGCAAACCTAGTGTGTCGAAATCACTCCAGTTGCTGTTTTATGTAATACATTTTTAATGCAATTTCCCTTTCTTTTTATCCCCCTTGAGTAAAAAGCGCATTGCGGCTCAGACCTCTGTAAGGCCAAATTGATGTCTATTCTCCGAGATATATTAGGCATAGTGCGGAAGAGCAAAGACGGTAAAGTAATCCGCTCCGGAACAGCTGCGTAGACCATGACTTGGACGATAAATCAACCCAGTTGCATAATTAATGTATCTCTTAGACACTGCCCATTAATACACATATCCGATGTACGAAAATACCATTGCCCTTACGACTGTGAATTGTCCTTTGAAGAAAGCTTGCAGACGAGCCGAATTCATCCTTTTACTTGAAATGAAGAACTTTGTTTTTCGGTTGCTAGGCTATAGCGGCAAAACTGAATAAAAAGCCCACAATTCCTACTTTCCTACTTAACATAGGATGCTGATTTTAGTTAAATGTTGGCCTGACAATTAGATGCTCATGCATGGTGAAAAAGTACGATAATACCCGTTTCTTTCACCTTAATTAATGGTACATTTCGTTCAAATTTTTTTATCTGTTTATCGATTTCAAACTACTGCCAGATTCAGAGAGCATTCAAACAAAGTGTTTCTATCTATTAATATCGTGCTGTCCTTTTAAAATATTTTCAAAATAAAAATTCACCCAGTGTTTTGTCATGTAGTAGCAGAATATCGACAAAACACGCGTGTCTGAGCTTTTCCTTTAGTACCTTTGCTGCTTTTGTGTGTGATAACCTCAGTTAAAGAGACGTTATAAAAAAATTAAAAGGCCTCTTTGAAGTTCTTCCGGACGTACAGGAAAACACAACTACAGACAAAGTTGCATAAATACCCATCGGAGAATTAAGAAGAGTATTTGACGAGCATAGGTAAGCTATCGATAAATTTTCATCGGGCCATTACATTTAAATGCGAAGGGGGTAAAAGAAAAAATGTAACAACTTTTTGAAAAAGAAGACGAACTTTAACTGAACGATCATGTTTCCTTTGGTAGTATGAATATCGGTAATTTCAAAACATACGTCAAAGTAAACAACCAGTTACTGATGGCTATTTAGCCGCAATCGATTTATCAAATATCCGGTATGTACATTTGAGTACTATTCGCTATTTGTTCTATTGAGTGGGATAGTAGGCAGAGTACATAGGTTGGATGGGCTCAGATCGTTAAGAAGGCGCTTTTTGAATTAAGGTTTGAACTATTAGAACGGTAATTTCACTCAAATACGCCATTCAAATGCTCTTACTAACAGCAAACCGTTAACGCAGATGCGCACTTTAATCCTTTAAAGAAAAGGAGAAAATGTCAGCGCCATTATTGCCTACACGTCATTATTAATTTTAAAGGATGTTTCCGTTTTCTCCCCAGAATTTGACTTTTAAAAGCAAAGGTTAAGTGCCCGCAGGGACTTTGCTCTTTTCTCTCGAAAGTTGTCAATAAGCAGAAGGTAATTACAAGTTAACACTTTTCTTGACAGTTAGGTCCTACTTGATCCAAATGAGTTATGACAGCCGTACAAACTAACGCTGTAGAAAAAGGCAGATATTCAAAACCGTGTTTTATGCAAACCATGCGACACTTTCCTCATCCCCGTGCGCATGATTAAAGATAATCTTAAGTGCCTCAAGACCTCAGCGTGATTCATTCTTTATCCTTTTTCTCATCTCTGTCTTGAGTTCTAATCTCGCACTGTAACAGCACCACGTATAAAGCCTGCTTCAAATTTCAGGATATCGATATCAAGGGCGATGCCTATCACTACTGGTCGTTCGATTGAAGTAGAATAAATTCGTTTCACAGGGGGTACAGTCAGCCCATTGAGTCAGTGCTCCTACGCGAATAAAAATCTGCGGCATATGAATAGAACTGCTACCAAAATGAGCCTTTTAAATGCTCTTAATAGCGACAAACTACATATGCTGAATCACAGATGAAGGCATGAAAGAAAAGATAAGTATCAGCTACATTCCTTGGTCGCATTTCATTCATAAGTTTAAGGAAACGATCTATTTGTTAAGAAACTCTCACTGATTGCCAACGAAACTCAAAAATCCTGTAGAGACACGACCTCAGCCGCACAGCCGCTAGAAGTGTAGGCAGACGAAAATTGGTTCGAACATTTAACTTCTACTCAGCCCGTTGTGGTTGCGATGGTGGGATGGAATACCACATGGTCTTAAGTATGACTGGCTGATGAGGGCTTATGATCCAGAAATAACAATTTAAGTCTCCCTCTTTTTCGCCGGCAACGTTCCTTATTCTGTTTGTCCAAAAATAACACTTTTAAAAGTCCACTTGACCCAATTAATAAAAGCCTCAGTGGAAGTCAAACCCACACAGCAAGGAAGGCTCTTGCGCAACTAAGGCTCTACCATTGAGCTACGAGGCTCATCATGAGCCGTGAATTTAATCACATTTGGGTCGATTTAGCCGCCAAACCTAATGTTCGTATGGAATTCACCATTAAGTTCGCGGCTCACGGTGAACCTCGTAGCTCAATGGTAGAGAGTTGATTGCGCAAAAGCCTTCCCTTCTGTGTGGGTTCGCCTCCCACCGAGCCCGCGAGCCTTTCCCAAATGGGTCAAATGCCTTATTCAAATCTGCCAAACTATCCCAATAATACTTTTAAAAGTAATTGTTAGGCACCCAGAGGGACGTTACTCTTTTATCTAAATAATACGAAGCATGTAAATAAGTGAAACCTGGTAAATAAGCTGAAACTCTTCCTAACTTTAAGGTCCTAGTTGAAGTATAATAGATATGAACTCCACGAAATCTAATGCGGTAAAATGCAAAGTCTCAAAACTCTGTTTGATTCAAAGAAACGGAAAAAAATGCAGCAGGATTATTCATTTCCTTGACTGTTTTACATTAGAACAAAAATCTTTTCTTAGACGGTAATGGTGTTTTACTGATTTCCTTGCGTATAGATAAGGAGGGGTTTAAATACCTCGTCACCTCGTTGTAATGCATTCTTTATCTTTTTTCACCTCCCTCTTAAGTCCCAATCGCGCACTGCAACACTACAGAGTATAAAGCCTGCGCCAACTCTCACGGCGTCTGCGTTGATAGCAATGGTGACTCCCAGCCGGACCAATGCGTCTGCCCTCCCTTCCTGTCAAAGCGGAGGTCCAACGTGCAGGCGGGGAGCGACGGTCAACGCATAGACGGCGGCGAGGCCATTTCCTATGACGCCAACTGGTCCTCCATGAATGTCATTCTGGAGAAACAAGTTCATTCTAGTAAGGACTCGTCTTCAATCAGCTCAAACGTGGAGTGTTCTACCCCACTTGGTACGTAATAAACTGCCAAATCCAAAAAATTTATATAATAGATCCCTTTGCTCATAACACGTCGACCGCAATTCTGAAATATGTTTATAATCGAACAAATAACTAAAGTAGGGCTGTACCATCGACTAACGTCCAACATAACCTCAATATCGTTTTGTCATGTCACTATGTCTGCACTTGAACGAATTTTTTTCTGGCCGCATGCACAAATTTTGTTCTTTGTAGCAAATGGTAACAAAACAGCATGCAAGCGTCCGACTGATTTTCACAGCTCTTAAAAATTACAATATTTGTTATAGAAAACACGCATGTCAGTATTTATTCCTTAGAAAAATGCTAGAAACAAATATCATTTTCACATATTCTAGTTAAAGAACGAATAGCCATTTTTTGCAGAACCTAATTTTTGCAGGCTGTTAGAAAGAATTCCCTTTAAAAGCTGGCATCCTGAGGTGACCTAAATATCTTGAGATAAGGCTGTGCACGAAGCAATAAAACAACCCTACCTGAGTATTCTGTTCGACTCGAAAACCCATTCAGAAGTTCGGTTGGAATTACATCAGATAGGGAATGCTATGTAAGTGCTCGCCTGATCTCTCTTCCAGAATAGTCTTTCGGTGTTGGAGACGCAAATGCACATCATTTAAAATTTTAGAAGAATTGTGAATCACATGGTAAAATAGGTTTTAGTTGCATAATATCCTTTAAAGCCCGTTGTATGTCAACATTATTTTAGGGAATGGAAACATTGCTGGTGTGTAGGCTCCTTTTTTCCTTAAAATATAAGCACGTCTATATACACATTTACTGACCTAATTTGTGTTGGTAAATGATTATTGCAAATGTCAATGCATACTGCGGCTTAAAACCTATGGACACTTAGCGCTTGTTGATACAGAGTTCTAGCGTTCGGAAATGGTGTTCGCTTTGTAGTCCTTTAAAATCTTCTTTAAAATATATAAAGTCCTTTGAACAATACTGGCCAATTTCGGAAATGAAAACTTATCCCCCAAAAGATGTAACTTTATGTGTGCTAAGATAGTCAGCGTCTAGTTCTTGAGCATGTACGTCGTTGAATGGGATCGTTCATGCTTCCCTCACAAGCATCCGCTAGCTTTGAGGCAATAAATCCTGAATTAAGTTTCAATTTGAATCTTTTCACTTGAAAAAAATTTCCGATGGTGGAAAAAAGCGTAAATAATAAGCAAACGATTGGAAGACTATGAAGGAAGAGAGCACATGATTTAGTTCCTGCAGTGTCATCATGAACGCACTTGTCCGTACGTTTTCGTAAGGTATAATTGGTTGAAGTCTATTGACTAATGTATTTTCTACATTGCGTGGAAAGTCTTTTCCTTAGGGAGTGTTTCTGATCTACCTGTTGCTTTGATGTCGTCTCCTAACCAAGCGAGACGATACCTGAGACTCCAAAACGTGACCTTTGCGATCTGTGTCTATCGCCCTAACCATTGAGCTACAAGGTGGTTGTCAGGCCGCTTTAGGTCGGGAGATAGTGACCCTCGTTAATGAACCGCAAGACAACGAGTTCGTTGCTCAATGGTAAGGGCGTTAGACTCTGATCAAAAACATCGCGATTTCGATCCTCGGGTGGTGCACCACTTGATTTTGGGTATGACTGGCAAACGACGGCTTATAAGCCAGAACTGGTCATTCCAGTCTCTTTTGTCTTTGCCGGCAATACTACTAGCTTAGACTACTAGCCGCTATGGCTGCTGTTAGGGTCCGAGAAATGAGACCCAAGGCAGAGTGGGACAAGTGAGTTCGGTTAGCGTTCAGTGAGCGTTCATCAAGGAGTTTCAACATCCCCTGACCTAAAATGGCAAAACAGCTAGCTTGTGGCTCAATATTTAGGGTGTTAGAATTTGAGTAAAGTGATGGCAAGTTCGATCATCGGGTAGTGCTGATGATGGGGTTTGGCATGATTGGCTGACGACGACTAATGAGCCAGAAAGGGAAATTCCAGTCTAATTTGTCTTTGCTGGCAATGATACCTAAAAACATGTACTGACAACTCGTAAACTAAGACAATGCTAGTCAAACTAATCAAATATTATAATTGTGACTAGCTGGCTAACTAAAATGCTCGTAGATGGGACCGCTTGGCACCCAGGACTCTACTGTAATTCTGTTGAGCCGTTGAATTCAGGTTAGTGTTCGCACACGCGGCGCATTGCAGCCCGTGTTGACGCATAGGTAAGTGATGGCAAATGGAATTTTGACTAGGCTGGCCACATCTGTTTTTTCAGTGACAGCTTGTTAGCCATGCCCGACCATGGGCTCGACAAACTTTGGGATAAAAAAAAAAGTTTTTTTTAAATAAACCGCTTAATTAAGATCTAGATTTTCAGATACATAGGCCGTTAAAACCATCTTGTGATATTATTTGTGGTTTTTCAGATGCAAGGTTATAAAAGTGCGCGTAGCAGAAATCTTAATAATGCTTTTTGAGTAAAAAATTTTTCATTATAACAGTTAACCCTGACAGAGGAACTAATAAATGCTCATTTACCAGTAGGTTGCTGGAAGTATGCCTCAGAGAATGTTATTCACTAGAAGGCAACGTTTTAGACGTGAAGATCTGCTGCACTTATAATTTAATATTGCATTTCTACTTATTAATCTCAACGGAATTAAAAATCAATCCCTTACCCCAAATACCAGAAAGTACCTCGGACTGGGAACCTTCTCATCTTTTCATCTATTGGCAGCATAGCGTTACTCCCGCAGACGGATGATTATGCGATTGTTTTTTACTGGGTCTTGGAATACTGTAAAAGACATATTGGTTCTCAAAACCATGGAGTCATCTTAGCGTAAAATCGTACATATGGACACTTCTTACATTGCTCTTCTGCATTACACATACAATGATGCACTAAACGGAGGTTAACTAAAAGCGTCAATGGTAATCGTCTTTGGCACTTCGTACGTGAAGTGAATTTTCAGTCTGTTTCCATGGTTTCAATGTCCGTCCGACGAGCGTTCAGAATATTATGTATTCTTGAATATTTTTTCCAGTTTTGCTTTTATGAGATATAATGAGTTTGATATTCCGCATCTCCATAGAGGAGTTGTCTTTATTAATGCGTAAACATCATTATTGCTTCTCCACTTAACAGAACTGGTTCGCAAAGGGTTTCTCCAAACTGCATTGGCATGATCAACAACAATATTATGTTGGCCACATACGTTTGTTTTGATAATAGACTGCATATCAGAATGGCGAATTAACGCTTTATTGATTAGGATTTATCTTGCTGCCCATTCTAAACTGCGCAATTGTAAAGAAAACTCGGACAACGCTTACTGGCTCCTGTCCATATTTTTCTGTAAATAAAAAAACAAAAAAGCAGAAAACAGTGTACAATTTTGCAACTTTTGTATATCTTAATATAATCATTTATATGCTCAACATTCTAGTACACACAAATAATTTGCTCCCAACGAGCTGTGCCAACACGAAAGTAATGAGTACAACGATATACCGTTAAAAGTTTTTGCCTTGCGCTACATCAAAGTCACTTGATTTTTTGCAGTTCAAAAAATCCCAAACCAATTCAGACTAAAGCTTAAGAGTTAGAACAGTTGGCTCCTGTTTGGACCTAACCTACCTAACTTTTTTTCATTTCTGAAGCCGCTTGCTGCGCGAAACCACAGTGAAACCGGACACAAAGCGGTTTAAATTTTGTTTAAAAATCTTCACTTTGATGATCCTCAGTACTTGTTTATATTATCCAAGTCTCACTGTACACTGCAATTGGGGTGTAACAAAAGCCATATATTAAACAAAAAAGGCAACTGAGCATTCATGTTTTCAGTAATTTGTCATGCGGTCTTTACAACTGTAATCGAAATTAATTGCATAGGCTTGATGATGAATGACTAAATACATTTTTTGCCGAATGGACTTTTCAACAATGTATCATTTTTACTTGCGTGTTTACTTGTGCTATCAAACACTCTTCAAAATGTGATGTGTTTACCTGTAGCTGTAGCTCTATATGCGATAGCTTAGTGGCGCATTAGCCGAACTTACTAATCAGAGGGACACATTTTTAATACTAGTCACCGTTCAAATGAAACAGGCCTACTTCACAGGCTTCCACTATATACGCGTTGACAGATATTACCTACCGTAAAGTAACTTCAATTGTGTCGTTTCATACAGCATTTTTTCGCATTTTAATGTTCGAAAAGCCGTCAGTAAGAGCATCTTTGTACCAAACGCTTCTGATAAAGGTAGATTCTCAAAACACTTTCACCATGGCTACGTCTTCGTATGCGAGGAAAGTAAGCCCTGCTACATTAAAAATGCAAACCCGTGAAATTTATCTGCTGAAAGGTAGTTTAACTGATTTCGCTTCTTCGTATGATTGCAATACTGTACAAAAATATATGCGCAAATATATATGCCTCTATTGATTGATTGAACCCTTCTTTCCTTTCTCCGTAAGTTCGGATCGCCTGTTCAACCAGCACACTCCTGGTGTGCTTCTATCCACCCTCATCGGCGCCCTATCAGTCCCTCAACCAGGATCTCGCCAACGGACATGCCATTGCCTACTTTGTGGGCGCCGGGCAGTCAGGCCAGATGATGGAACGTACCTGTGTGTTAACCTTCAGTGAACTGCGTTCCCGCGGTCCTCTGTCCTACCGCCTCAGCGCTGCTGCCCTCGACGGTCACACGACTCTCTTTACGTCTATGGAGCAACACCTCTGCACTTATATTGACTTCAGCAAACATTCTGCTAAGCGCTTACCCTGCGGAACGACTGTTCATCGGAACAAAGTGAGTTACGCCTCAATAAAGCGGACTATTTCCGAAATATTGGAGGCCCTGTGGTAAAGGGAGAAACTAGAAGAGGGGGGCTTGGTAGGATTTGAACGCGCGCCAGAAAAGAGAAGCCTTTAATATAGTTCTATTCAGCTGAGTAACAAGGTTCACAGTTTAATCTTTTATAAAATGGGCCAAATGAACTATTCAACATTGTGATTAATCAGTTTTCATGTATAAATACTGGGCAGTTTCGCTTCAACTGATTTCAATTTATTCAGTTGCTATTTGTGGATGATTTTCTATGATTTATTCTGGTAAATATTCTTGGCTGTACTTTGTATTTCTAGACAGCTAGGGTTTTAAGATTGGAAGATGACAAAAACAGCTGATGGTAGTGAATCCCAGAAAAAATTAATACGGCTTTATCCTCTTGAGAAGATCTGGTAGCGTCAAAGCATGAGGAGGATGATGAATGAAATATTTTAAAATGCCACAATTGGGTTGCATACTGTTACTATTACTGTCTAAATCCCATAGGACAAACAACAAGAGATGACAGTTAATATAAACTTTAGTATCAAAACTAAACCGGTGATAACTTAAATGAACATCACCGACAAAGGCAACTGCAACTGGAATGTCACATTTAGGCTTATTAGCTGTCATCAGCCGGTCAAACCTACCCGAGGCTTAAACCCGCGACCTGTTCGCTAGAAGTGCTCATTGTCTTGCCATTTTAGATTAAAAATATTGACACACGAGGAAAGTCGTTAACTGTGGGGAATTAAAGCTCACTGATAGGTTAAGGGAATCGCTCGTTTAATTATAATTTTGGACTTCTTATCAAAGGGTTGCATGTTTGAGTCCCGGTAGGTGCATCACCTGGGCGTTGCTATTACCAGCTGATTACGGTTCACAATCGAAAAACGCCCATTTCAGTGTTCGTGTCCTTCTCGGTAACATCCATCCACCTATAATACTAACTGCCCTGCCTGTATCGCAAATACTGAGGTGATCAGAGGCATATGGCGACATCAAATGATTAAGATGGTACAAAATGTCCAAAAATACATAAATACATACAGAAGGACAGTGCTTGCAGCGATGAAAAATGCATGCAAAATTCGTTAATAATTTATGCCAGTAATGGTCATTCTAGTCTCCTTTGTTTTTTACCGGCAATATTTTTATCTGCCTGCACTAGTGGCCACTGTGCGCCTGCTGGATGTGATCGAGAGTGAGTCCAAACTGAACGGAACGAGTGAGCTCCGGAAGCACTGAAAAAATCTAGTATCTGTTGACTATGGATCAAGTTCGTGTACAAAAGAAAAAAATCCGCGATGAGAAGGTTGTTTGTGTGGGGTGCGTCTGGATCCGGTTTTCTAAAGTGCTCACATTCAGTTGTCGGCTATCATTTCACGTCGGAGTTCAGATTCTGAAAGCCTCAACAAACTCTCAGCACTTAAAATCAAAGAGCGCAGTAAATTAGATTACCACTGGCTATGTTAAATCAAAACGTCAGAGAGAGAGAGAAATGACTATTTCCGACAGAGTTGTCCTCATAAGGAAGTCATTAGTTGACAACAGAACGTTGATGGAAACGGGACCATGTCGTCTACAAATATTGTTGTCAAGACGTCCGCTACCCGTAAAAGCCCTAACGCGAGAAGAATCCCACATGACCGTTCCCGCAGGGGCAGCGCGTCAGCCCATACAAACTAGCATATGTGATCATTTGATGTTCGGAAGAAGAAGAAGAAGAAGAAGAAGAAGAAGAAGCGATCACTGGAACAAGTGGTTTATTCTCCTGACGTTTCGGATTCCCTCAGGAATCCTTAATCATAGGTAATAGAAGAACAGTCTGAGACATGCGCAGATAGGTCTGATACATACACAGAATACACGGTATTTATAGTTCATAGCGGTCACCCGCATGCGTATTATAATTGTCAGTTCCTTTAGCCACCGCTTGAGGTCTTAATTGGCGCGGTGATGGCTCATTAATTGCCACAGCGTTCTTGTCCGCGTCGGATGCGGG